AAAATGAATTTATTATCAAAAGTTAGGTACAAACATGGTTACTTTTTGACATAATCATTGAAGATTGAGACATTTGTCAAATCTGTGGACGAGCTTTTCCATCCCCTTGTCATAGAATGTTGCCTCCAGTGAATTGAGATGGCCTTAACAACGCTGTTTTGAAGATTGTCATTAGTTTATTAGTGTCAAACATCTGCCCTGCTAGCCACTTTTCAGTTCAGAAAAGAGGTGGAAGTCTTCACACATTAAAAAGTTTTAAGCTGGATGGAAGTCTGAAAGGTGGAAGGCTTCACCACCTTTAAATACCCAGCGTATAGCCCCGATTTAGTGTAGAGCAACTTCCACCTCTTTCCTGAACAGGAAAAGTGGGTAGGAGGATAGAGTTTCGAGACTAATGACGATCTTCAAAAAAACATTAGGGCCCATCTCCAGTCATTGGTGACAACATTCTATGACAAGGGGATGGAAAAGCTCGTCCACAGATTTGACAAATGCCTCAATCTTCAATGATTATGTCAAAAAGTAACCATGTTTGTACCTAACTTTTGATGATAAATTCATTTTATTATTTATACTTGTCTTTGTTTTATGGACCATTGAAGCTTGAAAAAAAAGCAGCCTATATATAATTAATAATCCAAGTTTTAAATGAATGTATATAATATAAGTTTTAAGTAAATTTATAAAATTATTAAGTATTGAAATAACATTAATATTAATAATTAATTTTGTATAATTAGAGATAAAATTTTTTCAATTAATTAGTTACTTAATTGAAAAAACTTTTCTCATAATTCATAATTAATTATGGTTTAAGATAATTTAGATATCAAAACTTATAATGTTATAAGAGGTTATAAAATTTGCTTGTTTTTTTTAATTTGTGATAATTCTAAAATAGATATTGCATTTTCTAAGAATATGTTGAATAAATTATATCTTACTGATTGAATAGATTTAATGTTTAATAATAAAAATTATTACAATTTTAGTTGATATATCAAGTACTTAACTTTGGAATGATAGTTTCATCAGCACTAATGATATGGAAGGGACTTATGGTGGTTACAGGAAGTGAAAGTCCTATTGTCGTCGTACTGAGGTAATATATACCATTTGAGAAAAATACAAAGTAATAACAAAATAACAAAGCAATTCTAAATATTTGTAAAATGAAAATGTTACATGTGTATGTTTTATGTGCTTTTTATTTTAAAACAATATCTATGTAAAATTTAATTTGTATTTTCAGTGGGAGTATGGAACCAGCATTCCATAGGGGTGACTTGTTATTTCTCACAAATCATAGAGAAGATCCCATTCGAGTGGGAGACATAGTAGTATTTAAAGTCGAAGGCCGTGATATTCCAATTGTTCATAGAGTCTTGAAGTTGCATGAAAAGTACGTTTCTGTATTTCTTAATAAATGTATTTCTTTAAATATAAACTTTATAAACTTAAAAAAATATTGTATATTATATTTTATTGTTATACATTAACTAATTAAAATGTTTCATATGTAATTGAATAGATCATATTATTAGCCAAATCAAAATGCTTATTATTTCCAGTTATTCCTAAATAAGTAAATTTATAAAGTTTTGTTTGAGTAAATTATTAATTCACAATTACTTTCAGTTTGTATTTATTAAAATTGCCTTCATTCATTAAAAAAAATTACAAATATTTTAAGCTCAGTTCCAAAAAATTGAACAATATTTAAGAATTAAAAGTCATAATTTTTATTTATAACAATTATCACAATTTACATTATCAAATCATAATACAAAATTCTGCATCTCGTTATAAGAACATTTTAATATGTTAATATTAAATGACTGCATGGATAACAAACTTCATACATTTAATTTTAAAATAGAAAAAACATATCAGAAATAAAACAATTATTTTTATTGTATAACCCAAAGATTGCTTTGAACTGGACTACGAATGTAGAATTGGAAAAAGTATATTCTGAAGAAGGGAAAAAATATTAAAAAGTAATTTAATGTTAATTTTATTGTATTTATAATATGATTTAAAAACAGTAAAGTTCAGGTAAATTTTATGTATTGCTGATATTTTAAATTTCAAAAAATTTTCATTATTAAATATTTATTTTAAAATAAATATTTAATAATGAAAATACAATGATAAAACATACAATTACTTAGATTATATACAGGTAAAATTTCATGTTTGTTAAGCATTTTAAGTTTAAGTTTTGCCGCATTATTACTGATAGCAATTAGTGTTTTAATTAAACAATTATGTTAATATTTTTTTGAAATCCATATTTTATCTATCAATATTCATATAAGAAAAACAATATCTTCAGACCACTGAACCTCTTTAGCTTCTAGCAAATCATGTAAAATGTATCAATTTACAAACGTTTTTGGAATCCACCTGAAGCTGGAATCATGTGGGTTCCAAAAATGTTTGTAAATTGATACATTATACATGTTTTGTTGGAAGCTGAAGGGGTTCAGTGGTTTGAAGATACAGTAGAACCTCAATTATCTGGACTAATTGGGGATGAAAGTAGTCCGGATAAGGAAAAATCCGGATAATCGAAACAAATGCTTTAATTAGTCTTTTAATGATAATACAACACGTTTTCTTTTCGATGACATATCGGTAATATTAAAAGTAAATACTGTATTTAAATCGTGATCAAATTTTTAAGAAACAAACGTTCGTATTGAATTTGGAATATTACTGACTTCCACTAACAGACTACCTATTGTTTAAAAGGCCCTCTGGTGACGCAAGAAGACTGATTTTATAAAATAAAAAGCAGTTGAAACTGCATTTTTATGAATAAAAATTTGACAAACTATTTATCGTTTTATGA